CAGTAGAAGCTTGCAGCAGCTAATTCATAGAATTGATTGCTCTCTGGTTTTCAAAAAATTCCATTAATGGCACTAGTAAACGACTAGATGAATGTTTGCAAGTATATTGTCAGTACTTTGATTTGTGACCACCGGTATAATGTTTATTTTAGGTTCTGCTACAGGTCCAGACCTACAGTAAACCTTAAATTTTATCCTTGGATATTGTGATATTTCATCAAATTTTAGTTGAAAATAAGAGACCAGAAATAAAGAAAATTATCATCATTGTACGTATTTTTAATGTGAACATTTCGTTAAGGAAAACGATACAAGTTTAAATTTATCATGTTGTCATTATTCATATTGACATTTGCACGCTGCAATTTCATACAGATCGGCACAACGTACGAGTAACGATAACTTAGTTATAATAGTGCACATAAAAAGAGAAATGTTAATACACTGTTAGAAAAATTACCGTTAACGGTATTACCGGCGTTTCAGTGGCCGGTCGGCACGTGAAATGAAACACCGTTTCATCGTTTTTATTCCAATTTAACACCTAAAATCCGTAAAACAGCTGATAAAAACGGCGAAACAGTTTATTTTCACGGGGCGACCGACCACTAGGACGCCGGTGGGACCGCTTTTTCACCGTTTTTTCTAACAGTGTACATATACAATAATTATAACAATCATCATCTTTGACACAGCAGTGCATTACATCCTCATCATCGACGTTCAGCAAGATTCATAGCAACATTCATTTCATTCATTAGCTCAACCGTGAACATGAATGCTATGCATTAACTTATGGTGGATTTGACTATTACTATTAATCTTAGGATAGGATGACAGAATATTTTCATTTATACAAGTATGGTTATAGACTAGGGATGTGTTGTAATGGGTTGGTGCGCGGTCGAATGAGACGTCTAATGTTGACAAGTAAGTTTATAGAATAGACATTTATGGGCGACTAAGAAAACCACTAACACCATTTGTTGACATAATTCAACAAGTATTGTCTTACCATGAGCAGGATTTCACATCAATAAGAAAATTGTAATATTCGACGCCAAAATTTATCACGTTACAAAAACAGATAAATAATTTCGTCCATTATTGTGGCACATATTTAATATTATTGAAAAGTTAGTTAAAACTTTATACGATAAATTTGCTGTGGCAGCTCAGCAGACTCAATCTGAGTCTGTGTCTGTATAACTGAGTGGCCGTCACACGCTGTGTGTCAGCACCACTGAGTGGCCGTCACACGCTGTGTGTCAGCACCACTGAGTGGCCATCACACGCTGTGTGTCAGCACCACTGAGTGGTCATCACACGCTGTGTGTCAGCACCACTGAGTGGCCAGCACACGCCGAGTGTCAGCACCACTGAGTGACCATCACACGCTGTGTGTCAGCACCACTGAGTGACCATCACACGCTGTGTGTCAGCATCACTGAGTGGTCATCACACGCTGTGTGTCTGTATAACTGAGTGCCCATGACACGCTGTGTGTCAGCACCACTGAGTGGCCAGCACACGCCGAGTGTCAGCACCACTGAGTGGCCAGCACACGCTGTGTGTCAGCACCACTGAGTGGCCACCACACGCTGTGTGTCAGCACCACTGAGTGGCCATCACACGCTGTGTGTCAGCACCACTGAGTGCCCATCACACGCTGTGTGTCCGCATTCAATCCATCAACCATCATGCTGGCTGCAGTTATGAAGTTCCAGAATTGGAGAATATTAAAAACATTTACATTATTTATAAGTATATTAAGAAATTTAAGCTATGTACGACGTCACCATTCAAGATCTTTGTAACTCCCGTACCAGCACCAGCCCCCAGTGTCAGTACAGCAAGCACGAACTCTCGTCTAAATTTCGATGTGGAAAAATTGGGCCATAAAACGAAAGTTCTGAAAAGTTCTAAAGTGAGACAGCCTCGCGTCGATCAGCTACAACTGCGTCATCGCGGCTGATTTCAACATCAGCTATCAGCTACGGCAGACTGTGTTTGGGATTTTTTTTTATCGTCGAATATTTCTAGTTGATAATAATTGATAAATTATGTACACGAAAGCACAGCAAGTTTCGAGTATTTACATCACCACACTTGAGATTCCTAAGTTGCCAAAGGTCAGGTGTCAGAATTGACCAATTTTAGAAATTTTTAATTTTAATGTATAGAATCGTCTGTCTTTATGGAATACTATTTCAAATCAAAATGGGATTTTTGTGAAATAGGATGCTGAGTTCGAACGAAAATTTTTTCCGATTTGGCACCACTGTTGGGCCTTTCTCCAGGAACGTACGAACTTTTTTGAATAAATAGCTTCAACATATTCAATATTTAATTAAATAATGATTTAGAAGAAGCTAAGAAACTTTCATTTCAAGTTTCGTTGAGGTTACCATCGACTATAACTGTACAACGGGTTCCTGCATGCCATTATTTAGTAACAGATTCTACGAACTATGCGCAGAACGCCTTTATTTGATATATAATTCATAATGAATAAGTAGCGCACTACTTGTATGTACATTTGGACTCCATTACTCCCAATATATCGATTATTCTTTAAGCTGATCACATTCACACTACACTTAAATAAAGTAATGTACAGTGGATAATGTACGACAAGCAGAGGGTGTTTCGGCTGATGCGGCTGAATATATACGATCATATTGGCTTAACTGTGATCATTACAAGTAAAAGTGTCCACTAAATTCGTTAAAAGTTCACTGGCTTCAAGTTAATGAGGAATTAAGGATACGTAATGATTTATGTTCCTAATTAGAATTGAATTTTTTTCCTATTAGAAAATACTGTCAGAAAAGAACATTAGTGTACAATTGATCCATAAGATCCTTCTCATTTACGTTCAACTAAAAAGGAATGAGTACAAACGTACGAGTTGTAAATACAAGTGAAAGCTATGAATACAGTTCATAGTCGTACATGGTGCCCGTTTATGGTTAATAATTATGAGAATAATGTACAGCACTTCTTTTAAGGAACGTAAATATATAATTCGGTGAATTTTTCGTTGTCAAATCTATCTGACATCCGTAAGGGTTTTTTTATTAAGGAGATAGTCGTTGATTTTATTGAGTTAAGCGAAAATTCACCGAAAGCCACGAGTCGGAATAAAAGAAAAAAAATCAAGTAAAACCGCTGAAAGTTTAGAATCAGAATCGCAGGTTAAAATCAAATTAAACCTTTACAGCCTGACACGAGTAACCGGAGCAATATTGTCACAAGTCTACTTCCCAAAAAGGATACGTTCTAGTGAGCGCAAAATGACTCGCACTGACGGTTGCCGCCACGTACGACAACTCTAAAATGTTCTCTGTTGCGTACAAACGTCCTCAGGTTGCTACACTCAATAGTTTACGTATAATTTAAGTTGAAAGTTCTGTTCCCGGAGAGTGACATATGTCGGTAGAGGGTTAAAATACTCCGAAAGAGACTAGCAGGAGTCATATAAAAAACTCATATGGAAATTTTCCGAAGGCGTCGAGTCAGAATTCTTCAGAAGACGCAGGTTGGCCGCAGCAACAGCAGCAGTGACAGCAGCAACGCTGGCCAGGCGGCTCTGCTATCCTGGATCGACGCTGTTGAGCAACAAAATTATTATATAAACATTATGATTATTTATAATGATAAATATTTTTATATTATCGCTACATATTTCTATAAGATAAGAATAGACCAGGGACTATTTCATAAGATTACACGTCACGTTGTTTCTTCATCAATTGCAAACATTGAGACCACCATCGACGCCAACATTATCACGATAAGGCAAAATGGATGAAAAAATTGCAGTAACATCACGGAATTAATATCTTTAATATTAAAGCCAACTAGTTGCAGATAATTTGGAATTCGGCCTTGGGTTTAGTGTCTCGTTGCAGTTCGAGTTTTCGTGGTTTCCAAACTTAGCCAAAAATAAAGAAAATATATTCCAGTTCCTGTAAAAAAAAATATAACAGTAAAAAAAATATTCCAGTTATATTGCATTGTGACGCAAGTCAAATTACCTCAGACTTATTTTATCACCCTATAATTTTTTTTTTCAGTGGAATAATCCTGGAAATAACTTACACGGGTGAACGAAAGTTTAAAGAACGCAGAATCCCATACCTAGTGAAAAATCTCGTTAAAGGAAATCGTAACAAAAAGTAAATGCAAAGAAGGAGCGAAAGCTAAAATTGAAAAATTGTATGTACCGAACATATGATTCTGTAAGCCTTTTTTGATTATTTATTCTCAATAAATGTAATGTTAATAATTATAATCAAACTGGTATGGAGCATCATCTTGGAGCTCCTCCCTCCATATTAGGTCACACTGCCCCAACGACCGTACCCAACTCTTCTGACAAATGACTAACGATGAAACAATAACGAGTCTTTGTAACGACCGTACTCCTAGCAAATGACTTTGAACTAACGGTGAAACAATAACGAGTCTTTGTAACGACCGTACTTCTAGCAAATGACTTTGAACTGACGGTGAAACAATAACGAGTCTTTGTAACGACCGTACTACGACCGTACTCCTGGCAAATGACTTTGAACTAACGATGAAACAATAACGAGTCTTTGTAACGACCGTACTCCTGGCAAATGACTTTGAACTAACGGTGAAACAATAACGAGTCTTTGTAAAAACATTAATTCAATGGTAGATGTCTGGCAGGTCAGTGCTTGTCGCGTCGCATCTCGCATAACAAGCAAATAAACGGCTTGTAATCGTGTGCCGTAGCAACAGGTGTGCCGCCGCTAACACTAAAGTCCGGGTTCCTGACGAGAAAATCGACGCGTCACCAAGTTTCGAGTTTGAAAATTTGAGATTTTTTCGGGATAATGAAAACCTTTTTGTTAAGAAGCAGAAGACTCGTAAATTTAAGGATACCGTGCGGGATCTCGATGAGTTTCCTGAGCGTAAGTCTAGCAAAAGTCTACCAGCTTTAGTTTATATGCCTGCCTTTACATTGGTTAATCGTTGGACAGATCGAGCTTGATTTTGTTTCTGTCGTGACGACGCTCAGACAAGCCTTCATCATATTCTGCATAAATTTGTCGGAGTTCATGAAAGACTTTTGTTGAGACAAAATTACCGATGAACTTTATTACAAACTTTAAAAATCAGTTTAAAGGCTGAGCTGTAAACCTTTTTGCTTCTGGATATATTTCAGGAGTTTATGTAGTCAGGCGTTGATTCTTCTTTAACTATACACTACTCTTAACATTACATTCTTCTTCAACTTCTTTTCATAATCTATATATGTTTTTTGAATCAATATTATTATTTTTAATTTCTCTTGCAATTCGCAGAAAATTTTTGATAATTCATTCACTTGCTGCTTCATCTTCCAGCGCTTGTCCTGTTCTTCTAAGTTATTTATTTTTGTAGTTTGGTTTGGTGCTGCGGACGCCGGACGCTTGTGTTGGTGATCGACAATGCATGGCACCGGCAGCCATTTCTTCCTTTACGATCGATCAAATTGAGTTCGCTTAATTGCCTTTTCTTTTTCTCAGTTGCAATTGCGCCTTTCATTATTCTGTTAATTCCATGGAACGAAGTATGGAGAAAATGTCTACGTAAAATCATATCCTTACTACGTAAAAAAATTATGTTAGTTGAATCGTAACTTGGTTTCTTTTTGTAGACAGTAAGCGCGCTATAATGTATTCACTCTACCGTATACCGTCGTTCAACCGCATACGAAGGAGTTTATCACGTCTTGCATTTCTCTTCTTGGCCTTTAACGGTCTTTTTCGGGGGGTTATTGGTTAAATTAGATTTTTTAGCTATGGCAGAATTAGGAGCGCCAGTTTACATCTGCTGTGAATTCTCTATTAGCTGCAGATCTTTACGAATTGCGACTCTGTATTGCATAGTGAACTTATTTTAAAAAATGCGTCGTTGGCCAAATTTTTGCCTCCTAGGTAATAAAAGTATAGTAATTAGTACAACTTTACCTTCGGCTGAGCTGAAAATAAGTCACGAGACTTCAAATCGGCAAAAATGTAATTAGATGGCCACTTGGTATTCAAAATTTGAACTCGAATTTCACTCAAGTATATCTATTGGCAGCCACTGGAAGTTTCCACGAACAGATCATCACAAATTACGTTCAATGGGCTCGCGGTTAGATAAGGGGCATTAATGGTTAGCAGCTCAAGAGCGCTTGCTATTATTCTTGTTTTCTGACACCGCCACTAATTTGGTCGCTAATTGGCTTTCAGAGACGAGCATTGCTAGGACCGAGTGCTCCGCAGGGGCCTTCTTTGGGGGCTCTCACTTCAGCGGGGGGGAGGGGTGACCATGTGGGGGGATGTAGGGGGTGAGAAGCAGTACTTTATTTGACGAAAAAACGAGGGAGACTCAGGAATAGCGTGCAGCGATTTAACTTGTGTTATTTTGTGTCAAGTTCAAAATATAGGATCAATTCATATTTTATGATCAATTCAACTTGCGGGATCAATTCAAATTTTAGGATCAATTCAAATAAAATATTGTAGGATCAAATTGTAGGATCAACTTAAATTTTAGGATCAATTCAAATTTTAAAATCAATTCAACTTGCGGGATCAATTCAAATAGTAGGATCAATTCAAATTGAAGGATCAATTCAACTCGTCGGATCAATTCAAATTGCATGATCAATACAACTTGTGGGATCAATTTTTTTCGAATGAAAAACTTGTCATGTGAAGTGTCCTACTGATCCTTTCCTACTTGCGGCAGGAAAGGTACAAATAGAAGATTCACACTTTCGTTCCGGCGATAAGATTCATCATCGCATTCAGTCGTAATATCCGCTACTCGTGATTCATCGTCATCGAAAAGTTCACACGCACAACGAAACCACGTAAAATTGTTCACTTGAGCAACTTTTTGTTATGCAAGTGTATGTCTATAAGGAGAAAAAAGTGACTATGTTTGTCGTGATTTAAAAGTTTAAACAAACAAATCACTAATTTGAGGAGTAGCATGAAGTAGGAAACTTGAATAATTGTTTCAATCTATGACGAAGAGCTGCCAATTACAAACGAAAATATTTTTTTTAACTCGAAGTTGATTTCTTGAAGTCTATCGATCAACAGGAATTAGGATATATATTCTCTTCTCACAAACTTTTAAAAATGATTTTTAATAGCATCACGTATAATCTCTTGGCAATAGTTCGGCCTTGGCTTATTTAATGTACACGCAATGCCATCGTAAAAGTTCCTAGAATGTTCTGATAGCGACACTCGACCGGAGTTGGAGGGTCGACGACACTTTTTTGAGTGGCTTTGCAGTTGGCGTTGGAAATTAGCGCTGCTCTAATCAGAGCGTTCCAGGGTCCATCCTTCCTAAAGTTGCTTATCTAAAGGGTAGGTCGGCAGGCTCGTACAGAGCTGTTAGTGCTCTCAACTTGAGGCTGACGCGGCGAAATAAACTTCCAACTTACAGGCGGTCTCGTGTCTAGAGTGAGCGCTCAGCTTAAGCTGTGAATAACTGAAGTACTTGCACGCTATGGCTGATTAAGAGGTTCATTATGGAAAACGATGTTTGTTATTATCTAAGCCAATCGCAATTGAAGTATTTTGCTTCAGTGCAAAATTATCGCTAGAGTTTTCGAAGTTTCCATTAATATTAAAATATAATAATATTAATAATAATATTACATTTCCATTAATATTAAAACCTAATTATTCTGACGGTGTTTGTATGAATAATGATCTTTAATTGGTTTATTTAAATTTTTTGCTTACAAATATCGAATAGCAGCCACCAAGGATGCAGGCAAGAGACGTTCTGATTCACACGTTAGCAATCGATGAAAATCTTTTGGCAAAGCGGGCAGCGACTCGGCCAGGAAGCTGGCACGTTTCTAAAGGAAGTGGCTGGCAGATTTACGTCGACTTGAGGACCATACTCTATCCCAGTCACATGCCCTCTAACGGAAAAACATCGTCAGTTGATCATAACGTTTATAATTTAGTAATAGTTCAATAGTGTTCAATAGTGGCTATTGAACACTATTGAACATAATTGAACGCTATTTTAAAGTGTTCAATAGTGTTCAATAGAGTTCAATAGTGTTCAATAGCCACTATTGAACACTATTGAACACTATTTTAATAATTTTTATTTACCAGCTTATCGGGCAGTTCGTCGGCCAAATCTTGCCTATAAAATTTGGTATAGCCTAAGAAGAAAATTTCAGATTCGATATAATATTCAGAAATATTTTAGTTATGATATAACGGTTACCATTTTCGAGATCGACACCAATGATGGTGAACTTGTATAATTTATGTTTGGTTGTTATTTCTCTAGAAGCAAGACAATAAACATACGGAACTATCATGCTGCGCGCCTGTCCAGGACACGGCAGTTGAATTTTAGTGTCATCTGAAGTGTCCACTACGAGGTCAGTGCATAAATTCAACTAAATTTCTATCAATTTTATCGAGGAAATTATAGAGATAAACTTCAGAAAATGTTAATGTCAATTTAATGTTAATATTCAACTTACTTTTACTTCTCTTCACTAGCAATAAAATCGGTAGTTAAATATTCATTGTTAATTCCGTAGATTTTGTCGCATTACGATGAGCCTGATGGAATCCGCACAATACATGGCCAATCACTTAAAATATTATATCATTATGTTAAATATTATTTAAGATCCCTTCATTTCACAAAATCTTTCTTCGATGCGTGAAAACGCAGCCTTCGGTTAATTTGTTTATTTGTTACTTATATATAATCTTCGATGAGTTTAGGATGGCACCAACAAGTTATAAATTACGTGTACAATAAATGTAAGACTATCGCTACAAAGTGCCATGCCTAAAAGGATGCGTGGGGTAGCGATCTGAGGTTCCAATGCATCGTTAATTTACAATTCTTATTTGCAGTTCATTTGCATTTTTTGATATACAGTTGTAAATGTAAAGTTATTAACGTACAGTTATTGGTGTACAGTTATCGATATAGAACTAATAAAGCACAGTGTTTGATGTTGAATTACTAATGTACGTGCTGTGGCTGATGTAGAGTTATTGATGTTTGGATTATAAATGTAATGTTAATGATTTCGAATTATTTACGTCCAGTTGTTGAGCCTTATAATCACCTGCACTGAAGTAGTTGGGCTGACGCAAAGTTATTGATGTTTGGATTATTAATGTAATGTTATTGATTTAGAATTATTTACGTACAGTTGTTGAGCCTTATAATCACCTGCACTGAAGTAGTTGTAAAGATAAGAACTGCGCTGCAGTGTCGTCTTCATGGAGCTGCTAGACCGTATCTTGCTGTCAGCCAGCGTCAGCAGACACTGGAACTCCACCTCACCGCCTCCTGTCAGCCGCGACACCTGCACCACACATACAAATGTATATTAAACATTTTATTCTATGCATAATATAACAATTAGAACTATTGTTCTATAATTAAAGGGACGTCGGGAAGCCAAGGCGAACATTTTCAAAGCTACGGTGGCCCAGTGTTTAAAGTTCAGAGTACCAAGATTGGCGCAGAGAGGCGCGGGTTCGATCCCAGCTCTGTGCGCCAGTTTCTGGACAGAATCAGCAAGGAGGCCGGGCGGTTAAGCACAGCAGAATTGTAGCAGTGAGTTGCGAGTTCAAGACCGCAAAATGCTGTGAATGTTCTGCGATGTTCAGAAACGGCGACAGGCCTACGGCCTAATAAACGCTGAAATAAAGCATCTAAAAAGCATCTAAAGCATCTAAAGCTCGACAGGTTCAATCGCGCAAACTCATCAGATATTCATCGCTACGATAATTAATTTAGATCGGCATGGAAAAAGCGTCTAAATTTTGTGCATTCAAGCATCCAGGAACCACAGGAACGAAGATCATGAGAGCCTCTCACAACACATAAAAATTTGGAAATGAGGCACGAATTACACAATTTGACGCAAAATAGAAATATTGTTTAGCGCGTCAAGCGACACAAATAAAATAAAAAATAAAACAGAAATTGACGCAAAACGCTAAACAATCTGGCCACAAACTTTAACACCATACGCTGTACGATCTGGCTACAGACATTGACGCTATACGCTATGCAATGTGGCAACAAACTTTAACGCTGTGTGCCATACAATCTGCCAAAAGATGATAACGCTATACGCTATACAATCTGGCAACAGATTTTAACGCTGTACGCAATACGCTATACGATATGGCTACAAACTTTAACGCTATACGTTGTACAATCTGGCTACAGACGTTGGCGCTTTACGCAATGCAATCTGGCAACAGATATTAACGCTGAATGTTATGCAATTTGGCAACAGATGATAACGCTATACGCTATACAATCTGGTTATACGCTATACAATCTGGTAACAGATGTTAACGCTTTACGCAATACGCTATACAATCTGGCAACAGACTTCACCGCAATGATCGCAGTTGTAGGTAACGCAGTTTCGTTCAAATTAATACCAAGAAGCAGTAGGAGTGCGACGCATTCTATAGGCAGGCGGACGCTCGGTTGATTAAGACGCCGCTCGACGCAGCGCCGATCATCTTCCGCCGTATTCATCTTCGTTGTTGTTCATTTTACTTTGAATTTCATGTCATCTGAAGCCGATTAAATGTGGAATTTATTTTAAGCTAGCAAATTGTTAATATAATTTTCGGAGAAGAATTAGGCTATTTTTGTTGTAAAGATTCAAGATTTAAGCTGTTGTAGATTTACATATATCTGCGGGCTACGCTGCATTAATAATTTATAGTCAGTATTGTAACTTGCTTTCTATCAGCTTAGTCGCGTCTGCAATGGTTGCCAAAAGGACTCACGTAGTCGCTAGTCCTTGCCACAAGGTTCGATGGTACATACTTCCCTAATATACCTGCATCAAAAAAACAAACCTGCAAGTGGAAATGAAAATGGCTCGAATATTTTGGTTAAGTCACTTATGATGCAGTCCATTTATGTTAAGTTTTTAAAATATCTTATCAGCTTGTTAAGTATATACAAAAAATCAAAATGTAAAGTATATACAAATACTATCTAATTTTTTTATGAAATTTTATTCACAATAAACTCGTTGAGCTCTGTATAATTATTTTTATCACAATTACTAGTATAGTTATGCATAGATGGACATGTCGTAAATCAATATCACTGTTAAACACAGTTAGTATTAGTTGTATTCAATTCAATAGTATGGAATAATTAATTTGTTTAATGAAGTCTACAGAGACCAGCCTGCGTGATGAGAAACGTTCGATATTTGTTGCCAGAAGAGAAGAGCTCGGTATTGATATAGAATAATATTAATGAATAGTTAATACTGATAGCACACGGAGCAAATTTATTGAACAAGAATCAGGAAGTGGCATTTTCATCTGACTTGTCACAACTGCAGGTCGAAATTTTGGGAACACAAATATTGTTTTGAACTTTATTTATGAGGATCATGAAGATACACAATACCCAGTGAAAATTTACAGACGCGGCAGCTACTGATTTGGACTACCAGAAGCTGGGGCGACTCTAAATTTTGTTAGGGTAGTTCATTGTTTCTGGAATAGTTAATCTAAAATAACTATTTAAAGTTTTGTTGAATATATTTATTCGTGAAACGTTTAGTATTTGATAGTATGGAGATCAAATTCAACTTGGTCGTCAGAACCAAAATTATTTCCAGGATGACTTCGACGATTACTTGAGAAGCAAGACAATTTTCCCTAAAACCTGACTCCTATGTAATAAACAACTTCAATAAACCTATTCCGGCAGTAGATATAATCGAACAAAAAGGTAATCAAATCGCATGAAAGCCCATTCGATTAATCACAACCCCGCAGTGGCGATCATCAATCGCTTTTTGCCTCGAACTCTTGCAAGGTTGGGGCGGCTCACACCGCGCATCGCTGCAGAGCTGCAGAAGCACATAATCTTCGCGCCATCTGGTGTATATTCCAGCCGTTAATTGAGCTTTGTTAAGTCAATTACTGCACTAAATTGCTTCTATACAGAACAAGATAGCCTCAGACGCCAGCGAAACAATGGCGCCCTCTTAAGGAAAATTAAAACAATGGAAATACGTTAGTTACATTAGTGGCCGCCTCAGCGCCACCGACTTGCAGGGATTTGCCCAGCAGTACAGTCACTGACAAGACTTGGATTATATGTTCGTTTTTAAGCCTCTGTTGCAGCACATTTCCTTAGCATTTATTTTCTTATAAATGTTTGTGATTGCATTGACACACAAATAGATTAAAGGTTACATATTATATCCCTTTATGAGTCCAATGTTTATGTATAAAATCACGATCCCTTAACGAGACTGAAGCGGATCTCCTTCGATCACGTGGATGGTCTTTATAATTTACAACACAAATAAACTTTCCTCTCCTGTTTTATTAGAAGATTGATATTTTAGCTTGAGTGCCAGTTCTCGACGTATGATGAGAGTACATCTAGTCTCCTTCATGAAAGCTAGGTTTGTATATTGCTCATTTTAATCAATACCGTTACAAAACTCTACTTGATATATAAATGGGGCCAGCGTAGGGATCACTGTACTCCTTAGATCTCTAGGGAATTTCTCGTGTCTGAAATAACTCAGAAATTAATTCGATACGTAGCACAAAATTTCAGTTCGGCAGACTTTCTAGACAAATTTACGCTTTTGTGGGTAAAATTTTTCTACAGACTTGACCTGCGGTGCGGTTTTGTGTTATGCTCCTAGCGATATATTTTAGTTTTCGCTTAAGTGGCACTAAGGCATGTGCAGTTAAATATGTAGAAAATGTCGAGTTTTAAATAATTTTAATATTCTGAAATATTTTATTTTCAACCGCTTTTTTCATAATGTGACCGGACTTAACAACAGAATATCAAATTAGACTTTTTTGGACTTTTATAAACAGAATATCAAATTAGAAGAAGATTCGTCGAACACAAAGCTATCATGGATTACTTAGGATATTGATCCCCAATTGAGTTTATAAATAGATTATGAGAAAAGAATGTTAAATTTCAATAAAAAAAGACTTTCATATAGAGGAACTAATAGCTTGTTGTGAGTGTACGCTTAATAATGTTTTCTATAATATCTATGAGATCTAATTAGCTAAAATTCTGATCCACTAAAATCAGCCTGATTTTTATTAAATTTCAATAAATAAGCTAAAAAATTGATGATTGGAAAGCCATGTCATTTGTATGGTTTCTCCTGATGTTGGCAATCGGCATAGAAAATATGTTCATTGCAGGCCAATTAGAGAACTCATTTATGTGCTTATAAAAACCAGCTTTGAAGGCTTCGCGGTGCCTCTTGGGCAGGTAAAATTGACCTTAATTTACCTCATCAAGCAAGCTATAAAACATCCAAATAAATCAACTCATTAACGTGCGAAAAATATACCAAACACTCACAAAAAAATTATGGCTGTAAAGAGATGAGTTTCTCGTGTTTCTGATTACGAAAAAAGTTTTCGCAGAAATTGTAGCAAGTTTTGTTGATTTGAAGCCAGTCGAGTGTCTCATCAGGATAAAGTGCATGTTATCGCCAATGCACGAATCTACACGTAAAAAATATAACTCAGTACTCACTGCAGTGAGTGACAGAAAGCGCATTTTCTCGTCGACGAAGACTTGAGGTCACGGACGGACTGACAGACGGACGAACAGACAGACAGACAGGCGGGCATGGCGAGCACAATAGTGCATTTTTTCCATAAATGAGAAAATGCGCTAAAATAATGAAATAGTGAGATACTTTATAACCTGAGCACAGACAAGCCCTTTTGCTCGGGAAAACTGGGTCAGGTAGATATAAACAGGGGTAAAAATTGTATCATAATTTAGACAAAGAATCACTCATTTCTTTGATCGTGCACAACAACTAGTTGAGCGCACCTACACAATACCTAGTTGAGCGCACCTACACAACACCTAGTTGAGAACTGCACTAAGAACTAGACTTTACACAAGTTCTCGGTTAAGTGCATGATTTAGGCGAGATGATTTGCCTGGTAGGATGAGAGAAGGACTAGCGTTACTGCACTAAATAATAGGTACACCCCATTGCGCAACCACATAGATATTCCTTATCAAGATATCGTCTTTATTATTGTAAGCAATATTTATAATAAATATATAATATATGATAAATTATAATATTATAGTAATTAGATCTAAGTATAACTGACCTTGTCAGCGCGCACGCTGAGTGTCAAGCCGGGTGGCTCCCGCGCTCGCCCCCTGTGAGGTATGACGTGCTCTGGTGGCGCCTGATCCAGAAATGACTGAATTACTTCATTAATAGTAAAATTATTACAATATGAAGTGATCTGCACGCAAACATTTTTGTGGAATAAATTCATTATGTGAGGAAGTTTTCTCAATCTACTTACGTACTAATAATCAACACAGACAGATGGTCCTTTTCGCAGAAGAAATTGACAGCTGTTGATCTTTATGTCCAACGACATATGATATCAGATCTTGAAAGTAATGTTGTTGTTGATCACTAATCACTAAAAAGTGGTTTTTGGTTTAAAATTTTACAGTTAAAGTATGTTACTTTTGCTTGCAAACACTTTTCGTAACTGGAGCAAATCCTTCTTCATCATCTTACGGATATCTTTTAAAGTCGATTTCGTAAATAGTTCAAGTACCGAAAACTTGCGTACTTACGGTACCATGATAATAGGTAGGGTTATATCATTATCAAACACTCACGGGATGGCCGGCTATATACCACGTGATGGTAGGCTGGGGTTACATATACCACTCACGGGATGGCCGACTATATACCACGTGATGGTAGGCTGGGGTTACATATACCAATCTTGCTAAATCTTGCTAAATCTTGCAAGATCTTGCTAAATCTTGCTAAATCTTGCAAGATCTTGCTACATCTTGCAAGATCTCGCTAAATCCTCGTTCAAGTCTACGCAGAAACAGATTGATGGCCCATCCATTCTTTCACATCTCACGAAAAATTCATGTTTCTTGTGTCTGTAGAACCTCTAGCGCATTAGAGCTTTCGCGGAGAGGCTGAGGCCTAGTGTTTCAGCTTACCGTTGAAGCCTATCAATCCTCATGAGCTCCCAACAGTTTACGAAGACTGAGCGGCTCTTAAAGGAGCCTTGGCGCACCCCTCAGAGTCGAGCTGGGGTTACATATACCACTCACGGGATGGCCGGCTATGTACCACGTGATGGTAGGTTGGGGTTACATATACCACTCACGGGATGGCCGGCTATATACCACGTGATGGTAGGCTGGGGTTACATATGCCACTCACAGGATGGCCGGCTATATACCACGTGATGGTAGGCTGGGGTTACATATACCACTCACGGGATGGCCGGCTATGTACCACGTGATGGTAGGCTGGGTTCACATATATCACTCACGGGATGGCCGGCTATATACCACGTGATGGTAGGCTGGGGTTGGGTGTGGAGGGCGGCGGGGCTGAGGTACTGGGGGGTGCAGAGGAGCTGGACCAGTTCCCCAGCCTCGTAGCTCTCCTGCCCCCCTGTGATGGCGGGGGGCTGCGGCCTCTCAGCTGCAGGGGGCGAAGGAGGTTTCCATTAGCAGTGAATAATCTAATACATTTTTTAGCCGTAGATGCTCAAATAGTTACTTTTTAAACGATAAAGAATGAAAGACAATTTAAATGATTTCATTCAATAACTAATCATTTTCGACGAAGTAGGCGAACCAATACATATACTCGCCGATTCTGACCAGGAACTGGCGCACAGACAGAAAATTTACAGACGCGGCAGCTTCTGATTTGGAGTTACCAGAAGCTGGGGCGACTCTAAATTTTGGTAAGGGAGCTGGGATCGAACCCGCACCTCTCGGCTCCAATCCTGGTACTCTGATGTAACCACTGGGCCACTTTGCCCTTAAATTTAGTGTAAATGATCCCGCCCCAGAGTGATATTTAGAATCAGTAATCAGATTATTTAATAGAAATGAAAGTAGCAACGATGTGACACGACGCATCGAGTAAAGTTGAATTTAAGGACCAAGGACAGGAAAGTACAAAACAATTATTTTTTCGGTTTAAAACAATTATTTTTTTCGGTTTGGGGAGGGGGGGAGCAGATAAGTATCACTGTCCCACATTTTGGGGATGGCGTACTATCCCTGCCGATTTTTTTTGGTGTGGGGTAGGAAAGTTTCTCTGTTCCAGTTTTTTCCATTCTACATAAATGAACCCAGAGAAAGAAAGAGAGAGAGAGAGAGGAAGGATGGGCGGAGGCTAGGCTCGACATCCAATTAAGCGGCGCCGGCCGGTGGCTCGGTAATGAATATCTTATTGTAATTGTTGGGTGATGCGCTTAACTTGATTTGCTCTCGCAAATTGGGCCGTAACTTAATCATGATCTACAATACTAAACTCGCAGCCGATCACTGCCAAAGCCGTCATCCTAACCTTTACGCAGGCGTCATCAATACGCCTGACAGTGAACAGAAACTCGAGTACATGAATAAAGGAAACAACTTTTCCATCTCTGTTACCGTTAAATTACTTCTAAAGTTTTGGCAGAGTGTGCCGTTGTGAAGTTAGAAAATATAAATGTGAAAAGTGAAATTTGGATGAATAATAAACACGAATTTAAGCCGGTTGAATATTGGATGATGTATAAGAAAAGTGGAGTTCATGGAAGCACAAAAATTTAGCTACTTATTTCGAATTAGGAATTCTAAGAAAATCATTTCAAGAACCTATTTTAAATTATCTTAAGTTGGGGACTGATATTCTATGTCATGGATCTCATTCACTTCGAAAAAGAGAAAATATTACAATGAGTCCTTTTGAATAAGAAGACGGCGTCAAGATTACAGCATGCACACACATTATTTTATTGCTTGCTGTATGCATCTTAATTTATGGAGGTGCCAGGCCAATTATAAACTTAGGGCAATCATCGATCAGGGACAATACAATCTCGCAGCTGTAACGCCATTTCGGTTTCTGTGAAAATAGAACAAATTGCAAAAGTTTCGGCGAAAATCTTGTAGGAACTTTCGCAGTGCGCGCGTTGACGGATGAATGCTCTGCTGATGTCACCCTCGGGCTTCAGAGCAAGAAAGATGTCGGCCAGCTCAAGCTGCCGCGTTAAAAATCAACTGAAAATTCGCGGCAACCTTCGACTTTTATGCCTCCACAGATTGCCTGCGCACGTGGAAGTCATGCGAGTTGTTCCCTTCAGTGTTGCCTTTACGCAAGTAGAACTCGTGAGAGTTCTTCCCGCTACGTTTTCTGCGCCGCAATTCAGCTGATGTACACAAATGTAACGAGTGAATAAGTAAGCGCGCATGACATAACTGATTTTGACTCACACTTAACGCCGAATCTTGCTCATTTAATCAAAATCAATATTAATGCAAACAGTGTAGAAACATTGCCTAAAACATTCGTTAATTGATTTCATTATCATCTCTTTCTAGTTTACGGAAAAAATTAGCACCTTGCATATTAGTAAGGGTGAAATGAAACGGACAATTTACTACAAGTTAATACGATACTTGCGATGGACTTAAAAGATCTTGCTAAAACTTGCAAGATCTTGCTAAATCTTGCAAGATATTGCTAAATCTTGCTAAATCTTGCTAAATCTTGCTAAATCTTGCTAAATCTTGCAAGATCTTGCTAAAACTTGCAAGATCTTGCTAAATCTTGCAAGATATTGCTAAATCTTGCTAAATCTTGCTAAATCTTGCTCAATCCTGCAAGATCTTGCTTAATTTAAGAGAAACTTGAAAACTTTTCACAGATGGTGACCCAAGGGTAGAGATTTGGCTTTTGAATGAACGACATTGAGTCATGGATAAAACGCAAATAATTCTTCACAAGGAACTTACAGTGAATAGTGGGTGATCTCAGTAAGCCTCCTAAGAAGGGGGAATGAGGTAAGCTAGTCCAGGGTTAGCTCCCGCGGCCGGTTGATTGCGATTCCTTGTAACCAAGCAAAGTCGAGCTATCACCGGCCAACAGCCGGCCATTAATAAACCATCCGCCAACCTCCTTTAATTTTTTGTCAGGGATGCGCCGTGCATCACTGACGACGCCAAGCAACTCCGCTCCATCTTAATTCTGAGGCGGGGAGTTGAGGGCAGCGCCACCTGGTGTCGCTTGACGAACACCGTTCATGTGTAATTTTATATCTCGCTCGCCAGGGCTGAGACTGCGAGTCTTCCTATCAATTTGCCCTCAAATTTACTTTTAAAAGAAGTTATTTTAGTGCACCAAAACAAATGGAACAGACATAAGACAATGACATAGTTGCAGAACAATGGCACAGATTGAAATCAAATCAAAAGTTTTGTGTGAATTGCTTATGGCAATAAATGAACCGACGTCAGCCATTAGTTCGCCACACTAAGCACCCATGCCGGGTGGGAGTCCGTTCATGTGCTCGACGTATTCACCAAATGAAGGCTGAAAGCGCGTGTCCAACTGTCCATGTTAGGCCGGGCTCTAGGCCTACGAGCTCGAGGCCTGTGACGCTGTGGCCAAGTGGCGTGGCGAAGTCAGGATCAAAGCGTCAGGATCACAGGATATGGAGGGACTCCAGGCCGGAGCCCCAGATAACTCATGGTCAAAGCGCGCAGAAAAACTGGGAATACACTAAAGAAATGAAGTTTAAAATGAAATATATATTTAGGTTATTTGACAACGTAGGGTTAAAATCATAACTTAGCCTAGCATACTTTTTTGGCGGGGAAGGGAGCTTGAACGTTTTCCGTAACAACGAATTAGGCTCTTGTATCCTTAATATACTATACAATTGTTACATCAAATCTTATAAATCCAAAGCTGGTATTCGGTATCGTGGGTAGACTGGTGAATTAGGCCGGCTTTTGAGGAGTCGATAAGTAGTAGATGATTATGGCATGCATGTTATGCTGTAGGTCTGAGTTATAGGTTGGTATAACCGTATAAGAGCTGGGTAAGGTTGGTTGATATAAGAGGTGGGTAATCGGAGGGTAAGAGGTTGGTATAAGAGGTGGGTAAGAGGAGGGTAAGACGTTGGTATAAGAGGTGGGTAAGCAGGTGGGATCGGTGGGTTAGACAGACAGGTATGACGTCTGGGTGGGCAATATGGATCGGTGTGCAGTTTCTCTCTCGGCTGGAGCGCTTCACCGCCCCCTGCAGTTTTCAGCCGCTCGTCACTTTTACGCTGTGGCTCAGTGCGCGCTGTGAGTGGAATATCTTTTAAAACGAGTCTTGTAATTGAATGTAATTCTTTAACAGTCGTCTTTGCGGGAGTTGAGTGCAGCATACGCTCTGAATGCATTTTTTGCATTCCATACTCAACTTTAATGCACGTCATTTAAATTTTTGTTCACTCACTTCAAACCGACTAATTTTTTTAGAGAATTTGAACTGAAAATTAATGAGGCCGGAAGAGAGTAAATATGATGAATGCCGAGGCATATTGCCCTGGCTATATGATGTTAATTTTCATACAAATGTTGACTAACAGTTTAAATCTTTACTTCTGTTAGAAAGCAAGGAGTTATTCATGAATATATTTATAATCACTGAAATAAAAATGATTACTTAAAGAATCTCACACCTGTCTGGTTCATCAGAATGCATTCATTCATTTAGTCATAAATTTATCTAAAATTTAGTACTCAACGCGTATCAAGTTTATGTATACCTGATACTTTACACCTGATACGCTTATATCCGCTCAACTAATTATCGAGCGTCGTTTCCAATTAAAATTCCAAAGATTGACGATTTTCGCATAATGTGATTCTTCGAAAATTGTCGAGTTGTTGCAAAATGCCTCGGTGTAATTCCTCGAAATTTGCAGTATATGACAATGCAGGCAATCAAATATTGGATTTGAGCATCTCTTGGCATGGCTAAAAGGCTGCCCGAGCAAGACTCTAGCTTCGCTTGCTAGGTCCATTGTGCCGTGGCTTTGATGTACCAAGGCTGGCCGAGGCCTCGGAGCGACCGAATATGAAAGCCTTTACTCAGATTCCGATTTGACGTCGTGTATAGAAAAAAAAGAGTTCATTTTTATTTTCTGGGAAAGTCGCTCAGGAAGGATTTTTTGAATGATGAATTGCTATAGTTTAAGCATGTAACTCACACATATACTCGTGAGGGATTAAACGTTTGTGTCATGAGTGCAGCCCAGTAAATCTTGTAAGCACTGCTTGCGGTTTGTCAAAGGCCACTAAACCTTCAGCAGGGACTGCAGTTTGTCAACAGCCACTGCAGCTTCAGCTAGCACTGCAGTTTGTCAACAGCCGCTGCAGCTGCAGCCAACCCTGCAGTTTGTCAACAGCCGCTGCAACTGCAGCAGATCTGCAGTTTGTCAACAGCCACTGCAGCAGCAGCCAGCACTGCAGTTTGTCAACAGCCACTGCAGCTGCAGCCAGCACTGCAGTTTGTCAACAGCCACTGCAGCTGCAGCCTGCACTGCAGTTTGTCATCAGCCACTGCAGCTGCAGCCAGCACTGCAGTTTGTCATCAGCCACTGCAGCAGCAGCAGCAGGCACTGCGGTTTGTCAACAGCCACTGCAGCTGCAATCAGCCACTGCAGCAGCAGCCAGCACTGCGGTTTGTCAACAGCCACTGCAGCAGCAGCCAGCACTGCAGTTTGTCATCAGCCACTGCAGCTGCAGCCAGCACTGCAGTTTGTCAACAGCCACTGTAGCTGCTTGTCAAGGCGCCACTTAGTCAGCGCGATGGCGAGTACTTTTGGCAAATGGCTGCTGCTCAGTGGGAGCGTGGTTCAAAGTGTTCCTTTAGCGCACTGCAATTCCTTCCCTAAAATGTACAACTTGGCAATACAAAGGCTTCGGAAAGCCTGTCGGGATTTTGAAATTGTTTCAAACACATCATAAGTGATGGTCTGTAAAAGCTGGTTTGCGACTGACAGTCTGTAACTGCTGGTCTGCAACTGGTGGTCTTCGTTGATTTAAACGCTGGAAATGTCTATGTTCAGCCATGAAGCGTTAATTCAGGTGAATTGCTCGAAACTAGGGAGGACTAGCGTGATACCGGTAAACCCCTTGCCACAATAAAAAAAAAGTGGCTCAGTATTAGGGTACATATTGTAGAGACAATTTACATAGTGTATGTACTACAACATGCACAAACCTCTTATGATCGGCTCTTCAAAATATTACACCTCAAGGAAATATTACAATTCAGTATTAACCATCCATTGACAGTCAAATTAACAGCCAGGGACTCAAATGGGAACAAAGGATGCTAAATATTACTAAATAGCTTCAGAGGCTACTCACCTATGACAGTCATATTAGCAGCTCGGGACTCGAATGGGGTCGAAGTATGTTAAATATTACTAAATGCAACACTTCAGGGGTAACTCACCCATGACAGTCATGTTCGCAGCCCGTGTTTCGGTGCGGAACGAAGGGTGGTAAATATTACTAAATACAACACTTCAGGGGTAATTCACCCATGACAGTCATGTTCGCAGCCCGTGCCTCGGTGCGGAACGAAGGATGCTAAATATTACTAAATGCAACACTTCAGGGGTAACTCACCCATGACAGTCATGTTCGCAGCCCGTGTCTCGGTACGGAACGATGTATGCTAAATATTAATAAATACAACACTTCAGGGGTAACTCACCCATGACAGTCATGTTAGCAGCCCGTGTCTCGGTGCGGAACGAAGGATGCTGAATATTATTAAATACAACACTTCAGGGGTAACTCACCCATGACAGTCATCACACTTCAGGGGTAACTCACCCATGACAGTCATCACAGTCATCACACTTTAGGGCTAACTCACCCATGACAGTCATATTAGCAGCCCGTGTCTCGGTGCGGAACGAAGGATGCTCAGCGATGACCTCGCACTTGTATTCCCCGGACGCTTCTGACGTGAGGCTCGTGAGCTCCAGCGTCACTTGCTGGTCGGAGCGTGACACTTCCTGTAGGCTCATGAGAGACAGAGCTATTAAATCCGCTATGCATGGGTAGATGAAGTTGAAATGGTGTTGATTTTTAATTAATTTCATTTGACGATTTAGGTTTTACAATGTTTAAATTTATTAAGTTGATTTATTTTATTTTAGTTTACTAATTGTTTGTCCATGTGTTTTAGGTTTTGAACTAACGGTGGAGCTGGACTCCGAATATTTTCTCGTATGATGAAATGGTGAAATTTCGTCTGTTTTATTTGTTTCTAAATTCTTGAAATTACGTTATTTAACTTCATTATAAGTATATCACCGTATAATCAACGCAGATTCTACATTGAAGACAGAGCCCTGGTGGCTAATCAGGTCTCAATATCCTCTATTGTTGCGTTTTGGGCTGAGGTTCTGCTATTCTGCTATTTTTTGAAGAAAAGTTTTCTCAGATAAGCTCTGTCAAATTATTTTAGTTGGTTTACCGTTTCTGATAGTGAAGATAAACTCAAAGTAAAATATACTTTTCTTATGTACTCCAGCCATTTTAAACGAGAAGGTCTTTTGCTTGGATAATTTAAATAGCAGATTAGGAATCATCGGAAACATATTAGACAATTTTTAACTATGCTGGAACAATGAGAATAAATGCAGGTTGTGAATATAGCATCAATGATATGCTAACGACAAACTCGTGTAATATACAGCACATTTTATTTCTTCAAATTTATTTCAAAGGAATTCTTCTCTAATTTAAGATTACGCTATTATTATTACATTACTGAATGAGCGCAAATCACAGCTGTGGACCTACACAAATATTCAGGTGGTTTAACATTAAACTGACATGGACGTTGAACTTGAGGCTGGGTTTGATGACGACAGGTCTGTTCCTCTCAGTAGGCACGTGCCTGTAGAACTCCTGGTCGTTATGATACCATTTGAGGGAGTACAGACCCGTGCTGGTCAGGTCGTATGAGCACGACACGTTCACGCGCGATCCTGCGTACGAAAATCTCGGAACGTCGACTCCCTGCAACATGTCCGCCGCAGCTGCTAGACCTGAGGGAGAGAAAGTGAGCTTGTATTATAATATAATAATATAGCGGTTTCAGCGTTTATTAGGCCGGAGGCCTTTCGCCGATTCTTAACATTGCAGAACATTCACAGCTTGTTGCGGGCTTGAACTTACCGATTCTGACCAGAAATTGGCGCCTCTATCTGGGATCGAACTGGGATTCGAACGAAAACTGGGATCGAACCCGTGCCTCTATGCGCCAATCTTGGTACTCTGACCTTTAACCACTTGCTAACATTCGCTTGAAATTGAATTTTTAGGTGCACTGTTGGAAAAATCATCGTTAAACGGTCTCACCGGCGTTCTAGTGGCCGGCCGACACGTGAAAAGAAACACCGTACGGCTGCTTTTATTCAAATTTAACACGAGAAACCCGTACAACATCTAAAAAAACGAATAACCGGTTTATTTTCATGTGATGACCGGCCTTTATATCGCCGGTGAGGCCGTTTTTCACCGTTTTTTTAACAGTGTACTTGATTGGTAAGTAACATAAAGGCAATGGATAAAGATACTACAGCGGCAGGGCATCAAAGTTTACAAAAATTCATTGGCCTCAATGAATGAAAGTCTTCCTTCTTTGCTGATTTTTTTATCCAAGATATTCAAGTATTGACAGGTGGGCGATTAGGACTGCACCCTGCGATGGTTAAAATTGAACAAATATTCAATTGACAACTGCAATAAATAAATAAAAATTACCGCGTGTATACTATATGGTCGTAATTACTTCCGCTTGTGATAATTATAGAAGTATTGGGTTTGTACCTAAAATATTATTTGTTGTGTTATTGTACACAAGCCAGACAACTTGCAGTTAGTGAAGAAGTTCCTTGAGATACGAATTACATGCGACCTACCATCGGTGCTCTGAGGTATCAGTAAATTGAAACATAAAATCGAAAAGAAACGCGGAAGAAATCTTAGTGGTATCCAATGGGTTAATGTTCCATCGATATCTATTAAAACAAAGATATATATTTACATTATAACATTAATTTATATGTATCCTCTCATGTTAAGGGCCAAAAATGTATGTTTCGGAGCAGGTTGATGACGAAGCAGCATTCAGAAACGGCAGCACGACGCGCCAAGAAGACTAGACCGTCTCCCCTCTTGCTCGGTGTGGTAGTAAAAGCGCCGTAACAAAGCCTGGGTGACACCGATTTTTCTTAACTAAGTCATAAATAGAGGAGCTAGCTTGATAATAACGCTGATATTAGGCCAATAAATTGGCAGCGAGAGACAAGCATTCTGCGCTGCCGTACGAAGCTCTGACCGAGGTCAATGTAGAGGCCGTGGCTCTGCCTGCCCGGCACACAATCTACATGCAATGCAGCGCGTCGGTCTGTCGTGCGAAAGAACGAGAGCTTGTAGATGGAACTGTTGGAATTTGCGTTCATTACGGCAGCGATAATAACATTTGTAGTTTGCGTTTATTCCAACAACGGTAATAACAGTTGCAGTTTTTGTACATTAAAACAGCAATAATAACAGTTGCAGTCTGCGATCAATGCACCATCAATACTAACAGTAGCAGTCTACTAAAATGCAGCAGCACTAATAACAGCTGTAGTCTGCGTTCATTACAGCAGCAACAATAGCAGCTGTAGTCTGTGTGCATTAAAACAACACTAATAACAGCCGTAGTCTGCGTTCAATACATCAGCAATAATAGCAGCTGTAGTCTGCGTTCAATACAGCAGCAATAATAGCAACTGTAGTCTGCGTTCAATACATCAGCAATAATAGCAGCTGTAGTCTGCGTTCAATACAGCAGCAATAATAGCAACTGTAGTCTGCAGCAATAATAGCAGCTGTAGTCTGCGTTCAATATAACAGCAGCAATAATAGCAGCTGTAGTCTGCGTTCATTACAGCTGTTGAGACAAGCGGGCATTTTAATAAGCCATGGCGGGATTGCATTCTTTCATTGCCTTGCTTCCATTGAGTTAAAATCTTGAGATTGAGTTAGAGGAGCACAATTGGGGCTAAGAAGAGTAATGCACCAGCGCAGCGAGATTTGCAGGAGTGGCAGCGTAACATTGTTACGCGTAACTCGTGTTTGCACAACGCGGCAGCGATGGGATAAGATAACGTAACACAGTTACGCGTAACTCGTGTCTGCACATCACGGCAGCGATGGGATAAGATAACGTAACACAGTTACGCGTATCTCGCGTCTGCACATCACGGCAGCGATGGGATAAGATAACGTAACACAGTTGCGTATCCTTCGCGTCAGAATAACGCGATAAGATAACGTAAAACCGTAACGTAGTTATGATTCATGCGTATATATATCTGCATTTAAAGCGGCAGAGATGCTGCTGAGATGCGTTTCGCGGCACACAGATGACGTTTTGTACAGGATGTGCATATAAGCACATATAAGCCACTTATTGAGGTATCGTTTCCACATATAATAACAGTTGCAGACCAAACATGATAAGGTAAATGAATTTCGAACGTCAAGCGAGTTGCACGCTATAGGTTTGTTTGAGTCTTAAATATTCTAGTAGATCAAATATTTAAATACGCATTAGGTTAGCGTTAGTCTCTTATAGTTATTCATGAGTTGAATTTTCCTAAAGACTTTTACTCAGGATCTACAGCATTGCTTGTAAGGTACGGTATCTAGGATACATCGCATCGTAAATTGCGGTATCAAGGACACATCGCATCGTAAGTTGCGGTATCAAGGACACATCGCATAGTAAATTGCGGTATCACGTATACCACTCATATAGTAAGTTGCGGTATCAAAGGTACGCCGCATAGTAAGTTGCAGAATCAAGGATACACCGCATCGTAAATTGCGGTATCAAGGATACCCCGCATCGTACGGTACGGTATCAAGGATACCCCGCATCATTGGCTGCGGTATCAAAGATACACCGCATCGTAAGGTGCGGTATCAAAGATACGCCTCATCATTAGGTGCGGTATCAAAGATACGCCTCATCATTAGGTGCGGTATCAAAGATACGCCGCACTGTGTAGCCAGCGACAGGGTTTGGCCTCCGAGGTCTTGGTATTCCGAGCGTCAGCAGCCATGCTTGAGTGAGTCATCGATTGCCTGGGGGACAAGCCACCCGCTGAGGTATTTTTACTTGACGCTGCTGAGTCCATGCGTCCCATGGCCTCGAGTGAGGGTTCGGGAGGGGCAGGCAACCATTTAAACTGCGAATACCTCCATTAATACATTTATTTTTACAATTCATTGTTGAAGTCACTCTTGATGAGTAACTCATCGATTGCCTGGGGGACAAGCCACCCGCTGAGGTATTTTTACTTGACGCTCCTGAGTCCATGCGTTCCATGGCCTCGAGTGAGGGTTCGGGAGAGGCAGGCAACCATTTAAGGACTTACTCGTGAGCTGATTTGAGCAAGGAAATTTTACACACTTGCGTAAAGTTGCGAGACAGTACATGAATCAAATGACAAAATAAATAATTTTAAATATAAAAAAATTATTTTCAATATTAAAGAAATTGAACAATTATTTTTGTCAGCTACAAACATTATAATTGATTTATGACACACTTTTACCTGTCCAATTGATTTGAAATTTTGCACACTTGTGTGAAATCGGAGGCAATGCATGAATAAGTTGACAGAATAAATATTTTGAAAAAAATTTATATATTAAAATAATTGAAAAATTAGTTTTTTAAATATTCGAAAATAAAATTAGAAATTCATTGTACATTTGTAACATTGGAGACACTGGATTCTTTAGATGTGTTGTCTTTAAAAAGTAATTTTTAAACGTATATCATTTAACAATAAGAGTATGAGGTTATAAAAGTTACTCAGTAATAGTCCTGAGTAGAAAGAAAACTAATGTACACCTTCATTGACCCTAAAATAAATGTTTCTACAATCATGACCGTATTAGTCACTTATATTGAGAAGAAGCAGCTTGTCACTCGCTGATGGACAACCTGAATATCAACGTATGAAATTCTACAGACCAATTACACTAAATTGTTCTTCTTAACACGGCAAAGGTTAGCTGCAGTATACTGAATGTTACTTCTTAACTTGCTGTGCTTCTTATTCACCATAAATAAGGGACAAGGCGATGTTTAATACGTGATTTTGCGCAAGAAAATGTCGCAATTCGTGCGTGTTAGGAAGCCGATGTTACCGAAAACGTATCGAAATAAGCTCTGGTACTGCTTATTTTAACATAATGGATAATTTGAGTAAGACTTAGCATTCGATAAAGGAAGAATATGGCTTATATGCTTCATAGAATCCTTTTGGGATAAACAATGTTTTTTTCACAATTTTTAAAACTGCACTTAATTGAAACCGTTATATAATTATGTCAAAATATAAATAATTTTGACAGGACAAAATACAATGGTTGGGATATCAGTATAACGCTTCACTCGCCATCCTGCACATCTCCTCTCACCCAACACAAAGTTTTTCTCAGCAAAACGGGTCTCCCACAACCCATGCAGCAGTTCCCAACAATGCAATAGGTTCCCACAACACTTCACCTCTTCTGCAACAAAGCAGTTTTGCCTCAGCCTCAGCACGTCGGGCATCCCCAGCAGTTCCAGCACAGTCTCGACTCACAGCACAGCAGTTCCCACACAGGCCCATTCGTTCCCACACAATCCAGCAGGTCACACACAGCCTCGTCAGTGCCTACACAGCCTCAGCAGTACCCATACACCCCCAGGAGTTCCCACACAGCCTCAGCAGTTCCCACACAGCCTCAGCAGTTCCCACACAGCCTCAGCAATTCCCACACAGCCTCAGCAGTTCCCACACAGCCTGCCTCGTCAGTTCCCACACAGCCTCAGCAGTTCCCACACAGCCCAGCAGTTCCCCTACAGCTCCAGCACGCCGCTAGACTCCCCCAAAAATGCGTCCAATTAGCCAGTCCTGACTCAGCATATTTGAGGGACGGCAGATCTACGCCGGCGCAGGCTGAAGGAGCGGCGTCAGAAATCAAGCCACCACAACCCAAGACGCATCGATTTGCAGATCACATTTCCAAAACACGCATGCAAAAGAGCAACGCTCAATAGCATGCGCTGTGAACGTATACAGTAATTCTCGGTTAGATGCTGCGGTGAACACGAAGGCCTCAGCCTGCATAGTTACGGGGGAAGCAGAATAGCCCACGTGCAGGTCAGTAATGAGTTCTACCTTATACTGAGAAGAATGGTATACGATGATAGCAATGATTGGGATAATGGTAAGGTTTAGAGGCTAAAGTTGAAACATTCGTGGGAACTAATAAAATTTATAAGAACAATAACAATAATAATTTATTGTGGGTATTCATAACAATGATAAGAACGATTCAGGCATTGGTAAAAGTAATATCATACCTGGGGAGTGCTATAATAAATAAATAATCGTGATACGCTGATTAGATTATCTGTTGTCTCGAAGGTATCTGGTATGTTTGACTCCAGAGAGTGTCTGCGTTCTGGTAGATATCTGAGTTGTTGATAGTTCTTTGTTCGCATGGGTATACTGTATGTGTTCTCGAGGGTATGTCTGAAGAAGTTGATTGGAGAAAACTGCACTATCGGCTGTTGTTGGACGATATTTCTTCCGCAATTTTCTCATGGGATGAGGTGTGCACAGGTTGAAAGGACATTGTGCAACTCAATCGGGACGAAGCTCTGAGGCATCTTCTGCTCCCAAGAAGTCTTTTGAAGTGCGCAATGGCGACCAGATGATCATCTTACAGACTCTCCACCACCTCGTGATTGATCTGCCTGCGTCCGGCAATGGAACCCTTTATGGCACGAAGTCTGTGGAACGATTCGGATGATTTCTTTGAGTTTACGCACAATAAGTTGGAGAGGGCCGGCGTTAGAGCATTCGCGCAGAGCGAAATTATTTTCGGTCTGCGAATAGAAGCCATTATGATGGCTGATAAATTTTTAACCGCCGTTTTGGGCGATAGGCAGAATCAAAACCTTCAAGTTGGGTAAGAACAAGACCTAAAGCAGCGTAATTTGTCTTCAACTTAAATGCAAGTTAGTTGGGGGTTGCTCGGGCTCAATAATTCCAGAAATTTCGGAATCCTAGTCTTCCAAATCCATTAAAAAAATGCTGATGTATCCAAATGAAATAACGAACCCCTTTAAAACACATTTTGCCAAGAAGATGAGCATCAAATTTTGCTCTAAACTTGAAGTTATGAAAAAAAAAAAATTTCCGCCATTTAAATTAAACTATACTTAAGACTTTCACATACAACTTCACTTTTTGATCCTATCCTTTTTCATAATTTTCACCAGTCTTTTCCTATTTTTCCGTGAAGAATAAATTTTCAAATTCTGAGAATATACCGACCCGATAAGTATCCTGGATACACACCCTAACAGCCCCATATATTTGTGGTGTTAGGCCTCAAACACATAAACTTCTGCTAAGATATACGTAATATAGTTGATGATTAGCTTGCATTCAAAATTGAAGTTTGTTTGAACTAAACAGGAATTTCTCTCTCCACATGCAAGTTGCCAATCTTGCCATTGACAACAAAAATTAGAACAAAAGTTTTGAATGGACTCTTTGTTTACATTACTTCGACTTTCATTCGGCAATCTAGGAGTCATTTTCCACCATGCAAATTTTGTCTCGTCATCAAAATGTTCTCAATTAAAATGCGCTGATTTTTCCTGTTTTTTTTCTATGCTATTAACTTTTTAGTTTGGGTTAACACTAGGGGTTCTTCACTCAATTTTGAGAGCTCAAAGCCACTGATGGGGCGATGATGACCGCTAAAAAAACTCGGATGAATTTCGAAACAAATAATCAGTTGACTTTTTAAACCCTTTTTTGCCTCACTAAATAAGCGATATTTTATAGAGAGTAAATTAAGACTGGCGTTCGCATTTCCCGTGTAGGCTGTCGGTGGAGAACCGGGAATTTACATGGTTATTTTCCGGCAGTAAGGGAACGAAAAACGGGAAATACGGGTACGATAGAGTGCTGTATGGCAGGTAGAGATTTTTCAATAAAATCAACAAGATTAATATAGTTGATAATAGTAAATAGAAATAGCAGAAGATATTACGCACTTTAAAATTTGTTTTGAATCCGGATCCCGTATAAAGTTTGTTATTATAATCAAACACATTAACTCTCGCAGAAATAGGTAGATGAAAATATACGAATAAGATGACATTATCATTGACCCATTCAGATTTGTATGATTAAAAATACGTACTTTTGACTGACTAGTACAGCAGTAGCAGCTCGCTATGTTACTGGTGCAGACTATGGCTTTGGTGGAGACTAAGGCTGTGGTGCAGACTAAGGCTGTGGTGCAGACTAAGGCTGTGGTGCAGACAAAGGCTATGGTGCAGACTAAGGCTGTCGTGCAGACTAAGGCTGTGGTGCAGACTAAGGCTGTCGTGCAGACTAAGGCTGTGGTGCAGACTAAGGCTGTGGTACAGACTACGGCTGTAGTGCAGACTAAGGCTGTGGTGCAGACTAAGGCTGTGGTGCAGACTAAGGCTGTGGTGCAGACTAAGGCTGTGGTGCAGACTAAGGCTGTGGTGCAGACTAAGGCTGTGGTGCAGACTAAGGCTGTCGTGCAGACTAAGGCTGTGGTGCAGACTAAGGCTGTCGTGCAGACTGCTAAGGGCGCATTAAGGGCGTTTAGACGCGCTCACGACGAAGCTGTCGTAAACTGACGCGTTTCCGCCATTCATTTCTAAAACTAAATTCCCGCTGCATTCAGGGCGGTCGTCTTCCGGCCGCTCGCCCCCGACACGCATAAACAAATAACATACAACTCGGCTACGGCCCAAACTATTCCTCGGACTCCGGATATTATTCCGAGACTTTGGTGAACACTTTTCTTCAGCTCCGAGTAACCGTCGCGAAACACGGAAAACGACACGGAGCTTCATTTGATCTCGACGTCCAATGGTTCTGAACGTCCCAGTGAGATTATTGAATGAGAAGTTAAATTGGAGAATTTAATTTGTGTGGCGAAAGCGGCGACTAGTTATTTTAATTAATGCGAAATAATTTTTGAGATAAACTCCGAGGTATAATATGGATAGTATTGTGTCTACAATTTTACTTAGTCTCTGAATGTCCGGTCTTAATTTTTACCGTTAAGGATGCGTCAAATAAAATGCAACTGCAAAATGATCTTGATAGTTTAGTTGACTGGGCTGATGCGTGGCAGCTGCGTTTCAATGCTGACAAAAAGTTAAGAGATCGTAAGTTCATCAGCCAATCATTGACGGCCTTTCAAGCAAAATCCACCAATCATAGACAAGAAAATAGAGCGTAGGTACTTACGCTCACTTAATGAGTTTAGAAAGTATGGCCCCTGGCTTATAAAATAACAAGGCTGCTTTAGAGGCGCCGCAATGCTATTCCTGCGAAGATATCTAGTGGAATTTTTGGTTGGTATGAAACTTTATTGATACTTTTCAAGATAATTTTTCGTTACCTACAGTTTACTGAGAATACTTGAGCTAGCACCTCATGTGTAGTGATATTAAATGGAATGAAGAGGCAGATAATGCAAAATGTTGCAATGTAGTGACGGAAGTTATATGATAAGAAATGTAGAAGAAGCAGATTACGGTAAAAAAATTCAGTTCTACTAATTCAAAACTAATTTAAAGATAATAATGTTTGTCGGATCAGCACTCATACATGATGGCGAGATCACTGCATAGCATTAGTCTGGTGTCTTAAAAAATCAGATTTAAAAATGTTCCGATTTAAAATATTTCTTTTATGTTCGTATACGCCTGAGGCTTCTTCATCGAGAGCTATTGTATAGCCAAGCATTATAGAACTTTTTTATCTATAATAAAGTTTATTCACTTGAAGGTAAACTTAGTTAGTCAGAAAGACTACTCACCGAAGACGAAGCAGCTTGTCAGCAACAGGACGATGGCGTGGGTTGACCCATCGTAGAGATGAATGTATTTCCGTTTACAAGCTTGCATCTCGCAGCTACGGTTCTCATCTTCAGTTTCATGTCGCAGGTTGCAATAACCAAATAAGTTCCTGACGCTTCGTAAACGCCAGCAATTCAAGTGACTCAAGATCTTCACTGTAAACTCCGGCATTCTCAACACTCACGTTCGATTTTTCTTAGAAATTTTCATTAAAAAAAATTCGTCAGTTCAAAAGAGCCTACTCCATGGTTCCACATTCCGGAGCAAGTTTTTGCTAAATTCATCTGATGGGTAGAGCCTGAGTTTCCCTTAAAGACAATAAATACAGTGGCTCATCACTGGGGAGACTAATGATCTAAACGAGAAACTGAGTATATTAGCTGATATTTTTTCTTCAAATGCAGAGGGGACATAAGATAATAAATTATTCGAGAAATTAAGATTAAATTAACAAAGTGATGGCATTCCTCCACTTGAAATTAATGCATATAGGAAATTTCAAATAATTAAAACACACTGGAGCTCAACAATTCATAAACTTTGTAAATTGATTCTTATCTTAAACTCACTAAATTTTTGATGACTCACGTGGGAGAAAATGGCGAGGTTTAATTCCGAGCTAGGATTGGAATATTTATTTTAGCTTTATCAGCTCTCTGTAGCACGACAATGCTTTTCCTCCCTGCAGAAATTTAACTTGAATTTAACTTTGCTAAACGGCAATGTTAGTTCAGTATGAGGAACATCGGCTCTCTGTAGCACGACAATAATATTAAGCTTTTCCTACGTGTAGCGCTTGCCAGACTATCCAGTTCTACACTCGCATTAATAATTTAGATAAAGCTGCACCTAGGACGTTTATTAGGTAACCATATAGCTGGGACTGATCATTAGTTTTCTTCATTATTGCCAAAGATTCCGGCCATAATTATCGGAAATATTTCTGAAGCAAATCGCAAAAAAGCTCGCTGAGGAAGGAGTGGCGTTTGGCTGGGGCAGAAAAGCAGCGCGAGTAATGCTGTTTGCAGAGCGCCATGTAGCTCCTCCTTAGCTCTGCGTGTAACGAATCTTCAGCTGTAAAAATGGATCGCGTAAATTTTACATGTGTTTTGTTTAAACTGTGCTTGCTCCATTAATATTTTACAAAAAGTTTATTACGGATCGAAGACTGTATCTTTAACTATGACCAGATAAAACCATGACTGATAACACCTGTAAATTTGTAGCTTCACTGATAAATTTTGAATCATTTGAAAAGTTCACATGAATTCGGTTGATCGTTATGTGACGATCGTTTAAACAAAATAATTAAGGTTTTAAACCAAATTATGACGCAAAGAGAGAATTTAATCTTAACTAGAGAGAATTCAATCTTAACTTACACTCTAAATAAAATTTATATGCGAGGACTTCATCGTCTAATAAATAAAAATGATTCAAGTGAATATATTCAAAGTACAATTCTTTGCAATGTTCTCCTCAGAGTCGTTAATAATTTTCTGTGTAGTATCAGCCGTTCAGAAGATGCACGAGGTGCCAGAAAATAGTGTTGCGGAAACAACGTTCTAAGAACCTGCGACCTTTTGCAAGAAAGAAGACAACCGCATATGAAAAAAAATCCGCCTCTCCTTCGTCGAATATCAGTGCGCGGGAAGTGGCCTCACCAAAAAGAACCTTCATTATAGCCGCCGCCAAAAAATCTGATTGAAATGAGCGTCTGCAAGTGAGGAAAAAATGGTCCTTTCGCAACCAGGGTGGAATTGCTTGTCTCTGTGAGACCTCTCGAGGCTCCGTGCATTTCTCGGCGAACATTTATACGAAGTGACTTCAAATTAGTGTAACTTTTTTGGGGGTGCGCATTCTTGCAGAGACTAATTGTTTGAGTGGTGTTTGCGTGGCTGTTTACGAACGTCTTGCAGCTTCTACGTCTGCGACACTCGGCAGTTGTTATATTCTTCTTACGCCGCGTACAAAAATATTTGCTCGCCTGCAGCGCGAATGTCCGAATTTTGCTCCACCGCTTCCTAGATTCTTGAATATTTCATTGTTGTCGTAGCTCTGCACCGTAAATTTTAATAAATACTTGAATTGTGAGCATTAGTGTTAGAATAGAATAGAATACAATAGAAGTGTCGGCACTGAAGAAATAGGCCCATGGCCTGTTGCAGATTATTGCAATTTTCGTGACTTGATTCCACAAGGGATACAGCCCTTTGAAACCCGATCTTTCCATAACTGACGATTGATTGAGATAGCTGCTGGTCTTATTGCCTGGTCTGTAAGTTGCTAGGCATTTTAAGACTGAACATATGCTCCTGCATTGATTCGTCTAGTCTGTTTTTAAACGCGTTCATACTCGGAGCGTAAACGATACTATCAGGGAGGCTGTTCCACATATCGTTGACTCGAAGCGAGAAGAAATGATGTCGCATGGATGTGTTGCTACGCAGTTTTTTAATTTAAGCTTCCAAGACTCTGTTATCGACGTCTACGTGGTGACCTCATTGAAGTATACAAGTATACCCACGGATTATACAAGGTCCCAGAAGGATTACTAGAATTTGAAACAAAAACCAACACCAGAGGCCACGGCTATAAACTAAAAAAACTGCGTTGCAACTCATCCACGCGTTGTTTTCTTCTCGCTTCGAGTCACCGACATGAGGAACAGCCTCCCCGATTTCGTCGTTGGCGCTCCGAGTATGAACGCGTTCACAAACAGACCAGATAAAGCTATGGAGAAATATATGTTCAAATTTGAAATCCCTAGCATCATATTGAAACTGGTGGAAGTCTAGTAGCTGCTTCAAACTATCATCAGTTTTGAAATGATCCGGTCAAAGGACCGGTTTATATACCTCCAGTGAACAAGTCACGAAAAGTACAAGAATCGACGACAGGCCACATCAGGCCTATTCATTAGCGCCGACATCACTATGATATATGAAATACCGATGTGCAGCCGTGATCTACCATCCACCGAGTTCTATAAGTATATACCTTCGTTGTTGATCTATTAGATTTAGGTACTCGATATTAGTTGGCAATATGTAATCATTGTTCTGCTGGACACTATGTTGGTTCTACCGGGTACTTAACATTGTTTGGAATGAAATTCTCCATTGGGTATGATTAATTCTACCCTACGTGTTGCAAATCTGTGCTTATGAGCTAGGTAAACGTCCTTAATAATTAAACTTCCGAAAAATTTTAGTTAGGTTGATCAGGCTAAGTCAAAAAGTTTGCTTGATCGAATATATTGTAAATATCATCTTGATTATCATCTATAAAGACTGAAGCGAACACTATAACCTTATTTCGCTCACAAAGAGCCTCTTGCAGGAGGGTTTTTAAAAAGTAGTTCTTATATCGACAATACATGGATGAATAATCCATCAAATTAAATAATTGAAATGTTCGGAGTATTTGCTCTTCCTCGAAACCTTGAAAAATTTCATATGGAAAAGAATTCATAAAAGTTTGCTGTACAGTTAATTATACAAAAATAGTGAATTTACGATGAAAGACGTGAGAGAAGATATGAATGCACATGTATTCGACTGATAGTTAAGTGATTGTTAAGTGACAATCGTTCAAACTCAAAGTTTTCAAGGGTTTAATCCAAATTAAAACAATCTCCACCCGTCACTGCGGTCACCACAGCGGCCTCGGCGCGCTCTCCACTGCAACGTGGTCCCCACAGCACCGTGGTCCACAGCGCCGTGGTTTCCCCACAGCGCTGTGATCACCACAGCGCCGTGGTTTCCCCACAGCATCGTGGACCCCACAGCCCCGTGGTCCCCACAGCGGCGGGGTGGTCCCCACAGCACCGTGGTCCCCACAGCACCGTGGTTCCCACAGCCGCGTGGTCCCCACAGCACCGTGGTTTCCACAGCCCCGTGCTCCCCACAGCAGCGTGGTCCCCACAGCGCCGTGGTCCCCACAGCGCCGTGGTCCCCACAGCACATGGGTCCCTACAGCGGCGTGGTCCCCACAGCACCGTGGTCCTATCATTTAATTGAGCAGCGCCCCACAGCAGCTGCGGGTTAACACCTCCCAAAAAATCCTCGTAAAATCCAAGCTGCGTGGCCCGCTTGCTGAGCAGCTCGCCGGAAGAAGATACAAGTGGCAAAGAAGACTAAAAGTAGCGGGATTAATTGTTGCTTTTTTTTCCATACAACTTGAGCAGTTAATCTAGGAATAGGAGTAGCAACAGTAGAAACGTGAAGAAAATGATGCAGGTCTCTGAATTATTTCGCGATTAAATACAAAAAGAAATAAAGCTGGAAATTAAGATTGTTCCTGACACTCTGAGACCACAAGCCAAAATTTCTGAAATTGATGAATGCAAGCATGTAACGAATTTTTTTTCGGCTAATTGTGCTTAATTCTGAAGACAAAATACCTTGCCGTGCATCTCCTACTTACACAGTCCACTAAAAGGTCACCAACAATTATTGTACTTGCAATTCATCATTTAAAATAAATTAATTCATAATCGTATTTGGTTTTGCACAACTTAAATATTTGCGATTAACAATACGGAAATTTTATTAAGATTCATACACGATAAAGCAGGTCAAAGGAATTACAAAGTAATACAATTGCCAGTCATTTCAAGAAAAAATATTTCACTCATAGCATGACATTTTAAGAATAATGCATTAACATTTTAAGTCGCGGCATGGTGCACCCCGAGAAATGAGGGGGACTTTGTCCAAATAGCGATGCATTATTGCCTTTGTTTGGGTTATCCTGACCCAGTTTAGCCTGTTAAAAGAGAGGATCAGCGCTTACGTGAAAAAATGTGTCGCCATTTCAACATTATGACTCATTCATTTGTCTGAGAGAACGCAGGGTCGATGTGTACGATGGTGAGTCGAAAATTGCAATGGAAATTTTTCACTAAACTGTTATTTTTAATTGGAATATAAATATTTTTTATGGAGAGTATATCATTCACTTCATCAGATAATTATAGCCTATCTCTCTCAGTGTAGGTGCGTGCGACAATATTCCACAACTCAGCAATTTACTCATGTTTTATA